GGGGCCCCATGCACCCACGGGCCACCAGTTTGACATCCCAGCCCTAAAGCAGTGGTTCTCAACCTTCCTAATGCCAGTTCCTCATGTTGTGGTGACCACCAACCATAACATTATTTTCATTGCTACTTCATAACTGTAATTTTGCTGCTGTTATGAATTGTAAAGTAAATATCTGATATGTAGGATGTATTTTTATTGTTACAAATTGAACATAATAAAAGCATACTGATTCATCACAAAAACAATATGTAATTATATATTGTGAAATATTTATTTCTAATTACAAATAAATGAAATGTTGTCTTGAAGCATGGTGTAGCATGGGTAAGTCTTCAGGCCAGGTACTCGTAGGTGGGCATATCTGCATGTGGACGGACTCGCCGGGAGACAGATAGAGGAGCGGTGTCTCGGTTCCTAAGATCATTGGAATTAGGTGTTTTCTGATGGTCTTAGGCGACCCCTGTGAAAAGGTCGTTGGACCCCCAAAGGGGTCACGACCCACCGGTTGAGAACCGCTGCCCTAACGTGAAGTCCCATGACAGAGTGGATAAGTGTGCAGCAGCTAATCTCACAGATGCTGTTCAAAGCCACCCTCACTCCATGGCAGAAAGACGGCGGTCTGCGTCCTCAAAGACCAGCCTTGGGAATGCTCTGAGGCAGTCCGACTGTCATGTAAAGCCTCCATAGGGCACATCACCTGGATGGCAATGGGTTTGGGTTTGCATCCTTAATTATATCCAAAAAAGGATCATTTTTAATTCTATCCAGGGTTTTGTCCGTCGTGGACAAACACAATAAAATGGAAAAACAACAATATAGCTGCATGACTGAATAGCTACCTTGCACATGACCATACACTTAATCTGGAGCCAATTATTGGCATACTCCACAAAGAGTTTTAAATTTCATTTAAAATTTTCTTCTCTAAGAAATATCCTTTCTCCATGATCTCATTCCTTAACCTTGGCTCTTTACTTATTTATACTTTTTGTTGTTTCTTTCAACCTCAAATATGCTCTGGCTTAACCTCAACATGTTGTTTCCATAAAAACGGAAGTAACTGAAACAACATTTTTTCTTCCTTTTTCCTTTTTTTTCATTTTAACTTGATTTTAGTTATTAACTATCTTAACAGATGTGATTACATTTTTTCTAAAACAATTACTCATCTTCAAGATGAAAATCATTAAAATAAATGCATTTTTATTATATTAAAAAATTACTTATATTTACATACAAATGTATCACTGATATGAAACTTATCTTACCTGAAATATTCTCTGATTGTCTTCGAGGTTTCACAACAAGTTTCGCACCCCCTCCAAAAACAGCAGCCCACATTCGATTATTCAGTGGGTGGGCTGCAAGTCGAAACAGCTCATTGGAGGAATTTGTGGCCAAAGCATGTATCAGTAAACTTAAGTAGACAGCTACCACAGCTTCACACAACAAAATGTTCAATTTGGGCTGGTCTTCATCTTGGGCTGAACTCAGGAGATTGATAAGTGAGCTCACACCTGTAAAGATATATATATATAATCCCATGTGAAGTATATCAGCATAAAGCGCTGAAAGGTAAAAAAAAAATTAAATTTACACAAACTGTACCTATCTATAACACATAAAGCATATATTTCCATAATTCAAGAAATAAAATCATGATAGTCATGGATTATAGCCTACAGAGTAAAAGAAGAATCCATTAGCCTATACTGATATTATAGATGAGTAAATAAATAAAAACAGGAGAAGGGTGAGCTCTTCCTTAGAGTACAATTTCAACCAAGGCTTAGAAGAAATGACAGAGATAGAAAATACCATCACTCTAAAAAATATTGATGAAATGATGAGGGAAAAATAATCCCACGGTTACATTTGATTCAAGGATCATCAATGAATGCTAAAATTAGTGCTGAAATGTCAACTCAGAATTGCACTGTAGTTATATAAGTATGCCTCTTTTAGAATATCCATTCTGAAATATTAAGCAATAAAAGGGGTATCATGTCTGTAACTCACTATTATATATTTCAGAAAAATTACATACATACATATGGATATATAGATATTCATGGAAAAAAATAGACTTGAAACACAATGGAATTTTCACACAACATTTTTGAAGTACCCTCATATACACGTAAGAGGGGGTACCCAAAAAAAACCCCCGGAATTCTTTTTTCCAAAGCTGTGTATTTAAATTTTTTTATAAAACAACCTTCTCACTTTCAAAGTACTCTCCATTATACTTGATGCTTGTCAAATCTGCGATTCCATTCTTAGAAACATTTTTCAAACTCATCTGTTTGGATGGCTAACAGCACCTCCCTCAGTTTTTTTTCTTCACTTCTATGTCAAGTTGCTGTCCTTTCATGTCCCTCTTCATGCGCGGAAACAAAAAGAAGTCGCACATAGTGAGGTCGGGTGAGTAAGGTGTGTGGGGTGAGAAAGGCATGTCGTTTTTTGCCAAAAACTGGCACACCGAGATGGCTGTGTGAATAGATGCATTGTCGTGGCGGCAAAACCAGTCCTCCGTCTGCCACAAATGAGACGTTTTTTGTCACACACTGTTATGCAATCTTTTCAGAACCTCTAAATAGAAAGCTTGATGAACAGTCAGACCTGGTGGAATAAACTTCAAATGCACTATGAATCGACATTTTCATTCATTCGGGAAGTTGATGGATGTCCAGAACAAGGTTTGTCATCAAACGACATTTCACCTTTTCGGAAACGAGAAAACCACTCATACACTTGAGTTTTCCCCACAGTGCTGTCCTTGTAAGCTGTGTTCAACATCACAACAGTTTCTGTGGCATGTTTCCCAAGCAGGAAACAAAATTTTACAGCTGCATGCTATTCTCTTAAATAGGCCACCACAAAAAACAAAGTTCAAGCGAAACTGCTTTTACGAAAAAATTCACGGTAATTAGAGAGAACCTTCCCGGGTGATGCCACTGGGTGCTCTAACTCAGCAAATTGCTTGACGCTTGCTTAGCGGGGAAAATGAGTACTACATGAGCTCCACTCTGCCAGCGCAATTCTGGTTTTTGGGGGGGGGGGCATCATACACAAAAACACTGTGTGCACCTCACACACACTTGAAGTGAGTAAGAGAGAATGAATTAAAAGCATGTGTGGTAAAATGTTAACATTTAGGGAATCAGGTTAAGATTACACAAAAAAATTATTTTAGTAGTTTTGCATCTTCTAGGTCTAAAATCATTTTAAAAGAAAAAAGTTAAAACAAGCACAACATCTCTAAAAACTTATGCACAAATCAATTGTGAATTAACTTTGAGCTTGCCACTACTTTCCACTGACACTCTTTGGAAACTGTTGTTCATGTTTAAACTTCTAGCTCAGCCTTGTTAAGGAACCACAGGAAGAATTAACTGACATGGCAGTAGGCAAAGTACTGAGGAGCACAGGAGGGCTGAAATCATGTGGAGAACAGGACAGTTAACCAGAGAAGAAAAGGGGTGGCAGACAGCATGGCTTATGTGCCACAGATCAATCCCTCCTATCCTGCAACATGGATTTACACTTGTGGAATGATAGTCTCTAACAAATCCGTGGAAGTGTATGTATGTAGCCTATATAAGACTGAGGCAGACTGTCTAGGAATAGGGATGATGATGTGCTTGCCCATGTGAAGGATGGTTGGCACCTTACCATTTTATGTTGGTCAACACATGGTTTTTAAAGCCTTAACTTTCTGAAGCTTCAGACAACATTATTATACTTAAGAATTCTTAATCCATAGAAGAAATCACCAAAATCAAGCAAAGGCACAATCATCCTTCACTAATCCCTTAAAGAACAACAATCAATAACTAAGTTAGTAGCTTTTTTTAAAAAATTGAGAGCTAAAGAGTCCAAACACAAGAACTTAAATTCTCACCAGGCCACTGGGCAGGAGATGAATTTGGTGTGGCATGTTCTTCAATGCTTTCCGTCCGCAGTCTTCGGCGATCACTCAAAAGAAGTCCTTGATAGGCCATCCCTGTAAACTGATTTCCTTCCGTTTGACTGCTAAAGCAATATGTTCAGTTATTTACTGTCCTAACAGAAGTAAGGAGTAATTACATGTATGTCAGATGATTATAATAAAAACAAGGTCCTTAAAACTAAATTCCTCTTCCAGTAAGAATTTATTTTGTAAGTTCTTAAAGCAGGTTACAAATGTTTATTGGGAGTTTATAAAACCAAATGCCAAGTTGATAAAAATTCTTATTTACTTATGTTGGGAAGGTGACGTTTAGACTTTTTAAGTCTATGCCAAGGGCGTACTACTTAAATAATGTTGCCATTTTCTATATGTATAAAGAAGAGCAGTAAAGAGGTTACTATTGGTTAGGAGCATGTAGTAGACAGCAAATTTCAGAGTATGACTTTTCTGCATTTCTTAACTATGAAGCTGTGTAAGCATAATACTGAATTAAAATCTAACCGGTCCCTGAAGGACTATTTTTAGAAATAGCTAATCCTAAAGTCAAATGCCTCTCCATATTTGCTTCCCTCTTCATAATGGCTACTTGTGTGTAGCTGCGTAAAACCCAGAAACAGAAAGGAACGCTAGCTAACTCACTGAGAGTCAATCATAGACCAGGTGAATTACACATTTTTAAAAAGTTCTCAATTGGCACCATTTTAACCAGTGACTGATATCAAACATCCAGTTGTCTTGGATATAAAGATGATCACAGTCATCTGAATCAACTTTATTTAGATTTCCAACTCTTTGAAGTCATTTAGACATGGTCTGTGTTAAAATCAGAGCACAGACCATTTTGAGAGAATAATTCCTCATGTAATACAGCAAATGTTCCCATAAAAGACTGCTACATTTACCTCCCCCTAAATCTATGTTTAATGTGGAACTATTTATATTATACACTATTCACTCATATATTAAAAAAAAACTTGATTTAAAGAGGAATCATCTCTCCAAGTGATCAATTTCTTAGCACTCACTTTGCATTGGTCATTAAGATGCGAAGTTTACACTGATTAAGGCAATTTTCATTCTGAAAAATTCAAGTCATTACTTTGGATTGATATAGTTTCCAAAGACATTCACATCATATATAAGTAAATAAATAAAGTATATTCTAATAATTTAATTTTAGGAATATACTTTTTCTTTTTAAGTATTTCCTCTTTCAACTGAAAACCAGTAAAATTAAACAGAAGTTAATTCAAGGCTAAAAGAATTAATTTCTAAGGGGGAAAAATTAGAAAATTTCCTATCATAAATAATTTTGACACTTCTTTTGTGAAGAACAAAAAGAAAAAAGATGTTAATGACGTCAATTTCCATTTCCCATGTATCATTTTTCATTTTCTCTATTTCCTGATGTTACTAGGCAGCAACTAAACTAAACAAATCATTTTATTTCTGGTTCTTACTACAGGAGACATGGCAGTCATTTGGAGATGTGTTTCAGTCCCTAGGACATAAAACCTTAATATTACGCTGGAGCAGTTTCTCGGGCTTGCTGTGTTCACACTATGTGGGGTGTGGGTCTTGTTGTTACCTGTAGCTATGACTGTCACAGAGAGCTTGGTAAATCGACGCAGAGAGGGACGCTGCTAGTGAATGAAGGGTGTGCACCTGAAACCAAAGCAGCCAGAATTACATTTCTGCAAAACAGGCACCCTTCACAAACTAGAAGATACTCAGGAAACAGTCAGTACCGTCCGTAAGACGACGGGATCTTGTATGAGTCTACAAACTGCTTTTCAAATAACGCTCACCCATCATTAGAGACACTCCCACAAAAGAAGCCAATTCAGATACATCTCTGTTAAATATTTCACTTACTGTGAGCCTGGGACTGACCAGACCCAGAGCAAAGCGTCGGAATTCACAGTGTGGAGATTTGCCCTCACCTACTAAGGATGAGCTTAATCAACATCAGAGCCAAAGGAAGCAGAGTAGTCCAGAGCTTTTCCATAAGCTTGTCTTAGGAAAGAAAGGCCTCTTGATAAAGGAAAGACTGGATCTTAACGATCAGAATAAATTAAGCCAGTTTGGTAAATAAATCAATCACAGGGCACTGTCTTAGAATCTTAAATTTGGAAAATTATTGTTATCAATATGATATAGAAACTATATCCTAAAATATGATGTTGAATCAATATATTAAATCTTAAAATACAAAGGGACCTTAGAAGCAATTTCATATTCTTTGAAAGCCTTATGCAAATTTTGGTAGGTACTAGAAAAGCTCACTTATAATTCATATGCATTTTATGCCTTTTCTACATACCATAGACACCTGACAAACAATTTAGTACTCTCTGCCAAAATACTGACATGAATTAATTCACGCTACGGTCTCCAAGAGATTGACAGAATCACTAAATCTTGGCTCCTTCAGAATAACAGAGATTGAAGGTGCTTTACAAACAAAAGAAATTAAAACTCAAGGCGCTAGGGGGCTTGAAATGCCATCAACAACTGGAAATGGAGAAAGCCCAGCACAAACAAGCTTAAGTAATCGCAGTGGAAGTCTGAACAACTCCCCGGCCCCGCCCAGGTCCCTGGTGTTTCTAGGAATGCATCGGTTATTACGTTCCCAGAGCAGAGCATACGGGTGAATTCTGGTAACAGCTCTTTCAAAACTCTGGTTGCTTCTAATTATTGCATACAAAAAAATAAACCCCAAACAACTCGTTGCCATCAAGTCGATTCCAACTCACACTGACCTACATACAGGACAGAACAGAACTGTCCCAGAGGGTTTTCAAGGCTTTAATCTTTACAGAAGCATACCGCCACATCGTTTTCCCATGGAACAGCTGGTGGGTTCAAACAACTGACCTCTGGGTTGCCAATGGAACACTGACCCACTGCGCCACCAGGGCTCCTAGCTATTGCACAGTGCCCAGTATATATAATCATCAAGGAAACTGTAACAGATACTTTCTCTGCGCCCATTTCAGATCACTCAAGGTAGCCTACCTTATATGCTCACACTACCTTAGCAAGTCAGTAAACGGTCATGTGTATTTCCAACGCAATGGCTCATTACAGGGAACGGCTCTAAAGAAATACTGCGGCAAGTAAACTGGCCGGAAAATTCATTTTATTGTCAAAAAGGAATTGCCTGTCTTAAAGGAAGGCAGTAACATTTCCAGGAGTAAGAGGAATGCTTACTTTACATTTTATTTATTGGACAAATAATCCTGAACTAATTACTAATTGAGAGTGAGAAGTCAGCCCCTGAAAGTATCTAAAATACTTTCTCTAAGATCAAGTACAACACAGTTACCTCCTGGGTGGACAACATCAAGGGATCATAAGTTTTGCGTTACCTTCACATCTTCAATGTTGGGATGTGGCGGCGCCTTCATCTGAACGATGGTGTACAGTATGTCGTGGATGTGATTATTTAAGTACAATACAGGGTTGGCTATGACCGTTTTTGTGGAAGCAATACTTGCTGAGAGCAGAGGGAGGGTCGTGGGCAATGGAAGTGGAGACTGGAGCTGCTTCACAGTAGTTTCCTGTGGATGGCAGTGGATTTGTTTGATTTTTTTTTTAAACCAAAACAATTAAAATGGAGAAGAAAAAAATAATTCATAGCTAGCTGATAAGACATTTGAATACAACAAACATGTTCATTTATTTATTTGCTCCACAAAATTCATTGAGCATTCAGTATATACTGGGCACTAGGCTGGGTGCAAATATAAAAAAATACCAAGATGACCAATGACACAGCTGAACTTTCAGACATTTAAACCTTCTGCAAATTACCAAAGGTCAGTCTAAATAGACTAAGGTGGTGTGCAAATGTCTGCCTCCCACGGAACAGAACTGCACTAACCAATGAAAGTAGCGTCAGAGCTGCAACTGCTAAGGAAGAGCTACCGGAATTATTAAAAACAACCGGGATTGAAAAGAAAAGTGATGTTCGTACCTGCTGGGATTCTTGCAGCAAAAATTTGAGTTCCATCCGTACCGAGGCCAGGCCCCCGCCTTGGGCCCCGTGGAGGCTGCAGTAACTCAGAAACACCCGCAGGAGGTCCTGGTTCTCCTGCAGCCACAGCTTCCTCCGTTCTGCGTGCTCCCGTTTGGCCCGCAGTCTGCGCCTCTCGATCTGGTGGCGCTCGTAAGAGCCGATATCCGGTTTGTCTACCATTTCTTCCTGATCCCTGGGATCACCCTCTTCTCTGGAGTATGTTCCACCAGCATATTCCTTCATACCCGATTCGTGGTTGCATATCTCATGCAAGGCAGCAATTTCCTTTTCAAGCCAGTTATAGAGTTGAAATCGGAGTTTCCCTCCATCCACTTCATAGCCTGTTGCCAGTGTTCTTAGTTCAGTCATGAGGATCTTTAAACAGGCTCTGAATTTCAGTTGTTCCGCAATCACGTCAACCTCAGTATCACATTCAGGGGAGTCCTCTTCCTGAGGGTCTGGGGCTTTCTTATCTTCTTGTCTACCTTTTTCCCCACCATCGGTCCTTTTCATCACTAACCCGACGCCATCTTCTTCCTCATCCTCTAAGGCACTATCGTGCTCCTCACCCCAGTCCAGGTTAAGAGGCTCCTCCACAACTGTGACTATTGGCTGACTCCAGTCAACCAGGGACGAAGCTGCATTTGACCAGTCAAGGCCGGAACCACCACTGCCTTCTCTCGGAACGTGCGATTCGGAAGGGACATCCCCCGTCCTTTTAGAAAGGAAGTCAGGCTGGTCTCTTTTGATCGATAGGGCTGATGTTCTGGTGACTTTGGGAATTTTAGAGAGCACTTCCAAAGCTAAAACAGGGCATCCAACTTTAAAGTGAGCATTTGCGGTGGTAAAGAACAATTTCCTTTCTATGAGGTTAATTTTATCAACAAAGTTTTTCTCAGTTTTGAGCCCTACGGTTGCCAAAGCTCCTTCAGGGGAGGCAAGGTTTCTTCTAATAACCAATGGATGAGTTCGAAGGTAGTTGTAAAAGCTAAATACCATTGGGTTACACGATTTGATGATAACTATAGAAATCAAAGATACAATCATAAGGTGTTGTGTTAATCTGTACTTATACTATAATAGAATGTCAGCAGTTTTTTCCCTTCAAATTAAAGGACACTTAAAGACTAAACCCAGGATAGGTTAAACTATGGTGCACTCACACAATGCAGAACCATGCTGTTAAAACAAAGAAGCCCTTACTCACTGCTGCGGTGGGTAAGCACTCCATTGCTAGGTGAAGGGCCAGGAGTGTGGAACCACTGGCCACTCTGTAAAGAAAGGCTTGGCATCCTGCTTCCATAAAGATTTGCAGCCCCTGAGACCCTATGAGGCAGATCTTCTCTGTCCTGTAGGGTCACTATGCATTGACATTAACTCAATGACAATAGGGTTTTATGGACTGATGTACAGAATATACTACAAAGTAAAAGAAGGTACAGAAAAGTCTATGCACTACACTACCTTTAACAAAGTAAGAGAAGAAGAAATAGAGACATATTTGCATATCATCCTCAAGTGGAAGGAAGAAACAAATAAATTTTAAAAATAGAGCCCCCTAGATTCCCTGAGGGTATGTATGGGAAGAGATGGAGAGAAAAGGGGAAAGGGAGAACTGACAGCAACGATGACTGTATACCCCACTCAAGGGGAAATGAACATCAGAATTCCAGGTGAATGGATTCATTGGATGGTGTAAGTTATGGCAAATATATAATTATAATCATATATAACTTATTCATGGTTCAGGGGGTGGTAGGGTGGGAGAGGGAGGGGATAAAGGGGAGCTGATATCAAGGAGTTCAAGAAAAAAATGGACTGTAAATGATGATGGCAACAATTGTACAACTTTGCCTGATTTAATGGAACTATGGATTATAATAATATCTGTAAGAGTTCCCAATAAAATGTTAAAAAATAGTAATAATAATAATCATATGGGGTCAGTAAATGAACTTCCAAGTCAAAAAAAGAAAAGAGAGGGGGAAGCAGAGAAGAGGGGGATAGGGAAAGATACTAGATTTCTCTGAAACTATCTTGGTTTAATATATTTAACTGTTCTTCTAACAATGACTATCAGAAATCTCTTTTTTCTTCTTTTTTCTTCTTCATACTTAGTCATTACAAACAATGCTGATAAATATTCCTCCAATACTTAAAAACCAAAACCAAAAACCCATCAATTACCTGGGATCACTAAGAGTAAGACAATTTACCACACAAGAATAAAGTTTCTCCACACTTAGACACTGCGCATAACCACCAATCTGACTTATGAAAGAGTTCAGTGTTGGACTGACTGTCAAGGACTGAACTGTCCTGGGACCGACCACCCCCAAGAAAGAAGAGCAGGAGGTGGAGCACATCCTTTGCACCTGCAATCCCTGCACTGAGAAACTCCCAGACTCAAGGGAGGACCGCTGTCCAGACACAGGTCCACAGAAGCTGAGAGGCTACCAGGACCTTTCCCCCAAGCTGACAGAAAAAGCCTTCCTTCTGAGCCGAGACTGTGAATCTGGACTCCCAGCCTTCGACCCTATGAGAGAAGACTTTGTTTCAAAGCCACTGACTTGCACTGTTTTTGTTACAGCAGCAAACAGGTAGGTTAAGCAATGGCTGTGTGGAAAGCTGTATCACATGGCAAACGATCTGTGAACTGCAATTTCATCTATATGAAATGAGAGTAGTGTGATAATCTTATATGCTTCAATATTTGGAAGTGAAAATATGTGTTGTCTTCTCAGAACTACTTAAATTATAGCAACGTAACAGATTCAATTACTAATTGTGACAAATTCTTTAGTCGCACATAAAAATTTGATAACTTTTCTAAATTGAAAAGTAAATTGATAATTTTTAAACCTAAGTAAATATTAGTTCAGAAACTATCTTCCTTAAAGATTAGAGAAGCTCTCAAATGATTTTACCTTGATGCTCATCCTCTTCCTTTGGTGTCTGCTCCAGTAATGTGTCCAAAGCACGGGTGTAGCCTTTCATGATCCAGTAGGCAAGACTGCGCAGGAAAGGATCAGGATGGAGCTTTCTGCAATTGAATCCGGAGCCATCCTTTTGGCAACCCAAAATCTTCTGATTTAAGATGGAGGTATAAGTGGATGAAGTCTCAAATTCAGATTCATATAAGCGGGCGATAACCATGGCTAGCTGAATATCTTCCATTTTTTCAAGGCATACCTATATATTTAAACATATAGAAATACTTAGCTTAATGATTCTTATTTAGAGATGAACGACCCCATTGATATCCTGAAATTATCTACCGTTTACCGTATATACTCATGTATAAGCCGAGTTTTCAGCACTTTTTTTTAATATTGTGAAATATTTCTGATTACAAATAAATGAAATGTTGTCTTGAAGCATGCTGTAGCGTGGGTAACAGTCTTCACACCGGGTACTCGTGGGTGGGCGTATCTGCATGTGGGGGGACCCGCCTGGAGATGGATAGAGGAGCGGTGTCTCAGTTCCTAAGCCCATCGGAAAAAAGGTGTTTTCCGATGGTCTTTGGCCACCCCTGTGAAAGGGGTCACAACCCACAGGTTGGGAACCACTGGCTTAGAGGTTATATGTTGGGCTACTAACCGCAAGGTCAGCAGTTCGAAACCACCAGCCGTCAACACATTTTTAATGCAGTTTTGGTGGTAAAATTAGGTGCCTCAGCTGATATTTGGGTCGGCTTATACTCAAGTACATACGGTATACCTTCATGTGGAAGGAAGGGGTCCAGGCGTTGAGACAATGAACAGTAATTACATGACTGATATGAGATTAAGGAACAGCAACAATTAAAAAAAAGAAACTACCAACATAGAAAGATCTTACGTAAAAAGCATAAAAGAAAATGTATCAAAATTGTCACGAACTCAGGTCAATGTCAATAAGTTAGTCTTTTTATTTGTCATTTAAGACACTGCATATCTTACGTCAGTTCTCCTGAATTTCCAAGTTTATTTTCATATCAAGATAATAATGACTCTTTGAACAGTTCCTTCCATTTACACAGTGAATGAACATGCAACTTAAGAACACTCCCACTCTCTGGGAGCGGATACCTTGACATAACTTCACAGAATTAAGGTCACTCAGGAAAATGACAGCTTTCCAAGCAACACCTAGGTCTCTTCTTTGCTTGACTATCGTCCAGGCTAAACTTCCCATTTTAAAGTTAATTTGTTGTTTTTAACAATCACGTGACGAGATCATTTTGAAAACTGAACTAACTCTAAATTTAAAGTGCTTCCACTTTATTGACTATTTCCTATTTCTTATATTATGTATTTCGTAGTCCTCTTTCACCTATCTGGATTGTCTTTAATGAGATTAAGAATACTAAAAAGACATCATAAATAAGTGGACGCATGTGTAGTTACCCCCATAATCAGCTGTCAGGATTAAACTACCCAAAGTGCAAGAGTTTTACCTCCTGACATGCACTTGTCATTTCCCATTATCTAGGACAACTATCTTACAAAGCAGTGTCGGTGGCAACCCCAGGTCTTTAACCGACGAGGCATTTATTTCATTTTGAAGAGAAAGTGGCAAATGCCTTTCTGAAGAGGGTAAGGAGGTTAGGGCCTAGGTGGTTCAGCAGTTCAGAATCCCACGATGAACAAGACAACATTCGTAAAACACTCTTGGCCATTGCTCATACATTTTATCTTGAAAAGCAATATGCCCTACATAAATTGCTTCACTTGTTTATCCTTTCAATGTATTTCCTATTTCATTTACCACAGTGCCATTGTTCAAAGTGTAGCAACCTCTGGGATAAGTCTTTGTCCTTAGCAAACACATGACCTCCCCAAATGTCTGGGTTTTCAGTTTCTTAACAAATAATTCGTGTTTTCTCGCTTATTACCTCTATGGCATCTTTCAATGAACCAGCTAACAAGAAAAAAGCAGCAGATTGTTCAAAGCGTTGTTTCCCAAGTAAAGAAAAAGCGTTTTTCAGAGCGGCTTTACGCCACCGATCTTCATTAAAGTTGTGGCTGAAAAAGGTGGTCATTTTTTCATCATGCTGTGACCTAGGAACCAGAGCACAAACAGCAGTGGTTAAGCCAGATTTACATAGGTTTAAATCTCATACAGAATGTGTGAAAACAGATGACAAAATAACTGAAATATCGATCCAAAAGACACTTCAGTAACCTCAGTGAGAGGTGTTTCACATCACGCCTCCTTTCTTCACATCTTCTAATAAGGAGGGCTAACACAATGAGGCCTTATGCACAGAAACAGAACAAACCCACTGCTGCTGAGTTCACTGACTCACCGAGCCCCCACACGGCAAACTAGAACCTTTCTTCTTTTCCACAACAGCCTTCAGTTGAAAAGCTATTTTGCTCATTCTTTTTTAACAGATAAAGGCATCGAGGCACACAGAATTAAGCTACTCCAAGTATAGATACTTAAATAATTTCAAAAGCAGGGCATTTCTGGTTTTCAGCACCATCTTTTGTCTCTTCAAAATCAAACTCACTCTCCTCCAGTTGTTTCAGACTCAGAGTGCCCCTACAGTGCAGGGTAAGTGCCCCTGTGGATTTCCGAGACTATAACTCTTTACAGGAGTAGAAAGCCTTCCCTGTCTCCCATGGAGCAGCTGGTAGTTTCAAACTGCTGGCCTTGTGGTTAGCAGCCCAACACGTAACCATGTTCATTGTTGATGCAGCTTACCTAAACAAACCCCACACTACTGCCTTCTTCTTCATTGAAAGATAGAACAATGCCGCATCCAAGGCATCATTGTTCCTTTGGAAAGAGGCTTTAGCAACCTAAAGAGCACATAGAACAGCATCATAAATTAACTACTTGGTAGAAGAATTACATTCTGCTACTCTTGAGGCTGATAGAAACTATGGAGACAGGAGAAAGCTGGCCCTATTCCAGCATCTCCAATGGCCTATGAGACATGGTCTTCAAGACAATCCTTCGCATGCTGATAATTACAATAAAAATAATAATAGCAGTTAACATTTATTGACCAGATACCAGACTAAGCACTTTCAGTGTATCTTACTAAGTCCCCACATTCCATGCAGTACTGATCCTATCCCTCCTCTACAGATGAGGAGAGTGCAATAAAGAAGTTCGCCAATCGTCTAAGGTCACGTAATAAAGGTGAAAGAGACGACAGACCAGGGAATAAAACTGGGAAGTAAAGAAGGTAAAATACTGAACAGTGTGACATTTCTCTTGAAAGTTCAACATATTACATGTCTTATTGTTTTGTAAAAGTTACACTGTTCATTTCTATATTATATGTGATTGGACAACTTAAGATTCTAAACTTTTAAGAACTTACAAATTTACAAAACTTACAAAGCTTCTCAATTTTTAAGAACTTACAAATTTAGGGCTCAAGGAATTACAGGAAAAAAGTTTTAATGCACACATTAATTCTTTTTAAAAAATCATTTTATTGGGGGCTTGGACAACTCTTATCACAATCCATACATAAACCCATTGTGTCCTAAGTTGTGAAGCATGCCAATAAAAAGACAATGGATGTTTCAACAGCTCACACGACTGATGGTGTAGCTCTGAGAGCTAGAGACACGATGGGAGAAAGGAGAAAGGACCCCTAAAACCGCATCATAAAAACAAAATAAAACTTTTGACTAGCTGGTCTCGATTCTTTTTATTTCCCTTGCTGTTTTTTTTTAAATATTTCTCTGGCCTCCATCATTTCACTTAGTGCTTCATACTTCAGTGAGTTCAATTGCTTGGGGAGACATTTTATTCACATTAAGCTAAGGACTTATATCATAATACAGTCATGCACCACTTAACATCCACAGCACAACTAGCACAGATCTAGTACAAAACAGGTACTCAATAATTGTTCATTTCTGCAACATAAGCTTTCAGCTTC